TGGGAGGTGTACACGACACATCGGAGGAGTTTGTTCATGAGTGAAAGGAGAAATAGGGGGGTAGCGTGTTGGGTGTTAGGAGGAAGGGGGGTGCTGGGGTCAAGGAGAGGTGTTCTGGGAGCAAAGAGACGGGACCACGTCATCAGCAGAGGGGAAGGGGAACATGGGATGAGAGGGTGTGAAGAGCCGAGACATGGGAGTGTAACTGAGGGAAGGATGACCTTTGGGGGTGCAGAAGGAAGGAGGAAACAGAGGAAAGTGGGAGCCGAAGAAGGACATGAGGGTTTAAGCTGCAGTCTGAAGGAGGAGAGAAGTGAAAAGCCACCGCTGAAACAATTAGGTTTGGCAGGAGGCAGAAACGGTCAAACCCACAAGGAAGCTGTGAACTAGATGGACAGGGAGCCAGAGTGCCGTGTTCGGGTTCCTCTACCTCATCCTTGGCAGAGGACTCAGGTGTGCCTCATGAACTGGCGGACGCACTGGACCAAAAAGAATTAGGACTGGGGTGAGGGAGCCCCTGGCTGGAATGCAAGCTGGGCTCGTGTTGTAGTTCAGAAGCTTGTAAGTGTCCATGCATCGATCCATCATCCATCAGCCCATCCATCCATCCATCCATCCATCCATCCATCCATCCATCCATCCATCCATCCATCCATCCATCCATCCATCCATCCATCCATCCATCCATCCATCCATCCATCCATCCATCCATCCATCCATCCATCCATCCATCCATCCATCCATCCATCCATCCATCCATCCATCCATCCATCCATCCATCCATCCATCCATCCATCCATCCATCCATCCATCCATCCATCCATCCATCCATCCATCCATCCATCCATCCATCCATCCATCCATCCATCCATCCATCCATCCATCCATCCATCCATCCATCCATCCATCCATCCATCCATCCATCCATCCATCCATCCATCCATCCATCCATCCATCCATCCATCCATCCATCCATCCATCCATCCATCCATCCATCCATCCATCCATCCATCCATCCATCCATCCATCCATCCATCCATCCATCCATCCATCCTTCTTTCTTTCTTTCTTTCTTTCTTCCTTTCTTCCTTCCTTCCTTCCTTCCTTCCTTCCTTCCTTCCTTCCTTCCTTCCTTCCTTCCATTATCCATAAACCCATTCATCCATCCATCCATCCATCCATCATCCATCAACCCATCCATCCTTCCATTTATCTATCCATCCATCTTTCCTTCCATCCATCCATCCATCCATCCATCCATCCATCCATCTTTTCTTCCTCCCATCCATCCATCCGTCATCCATCAACCCATCCATCCTTCCTTCCTTCCATCCATCTATCCATCTATCCACTCAATCACCTACCTCTGCATCCATTAAATAAACATATTTTATTGAGTACCTACTGGGTGATAAGTCCTATAGTTACAAGTTGGAACATAAAAGAGATTCTATTTTCAAGGAGTTCGCAGCAATAAACCAACAATCACAATCCAATGGGAAGAGCGTGATAAGGAAGTTTGTGACCTGTGAGGACACAGAGGAAAGTGGGGACTGAAGGGAGGAAGTGAGGGTTTACGCTGCAATCCGAAGGAGGGTGGGAATGGAAGGAAGTGGGGTGTGAGAGAGTGTTCTAGACAGGAGGAACAGCCCGTACAAGGGCTTGGGTGTCACTGAGAGCCTGGCATTTCCCAGGAACCAAAAGAAGGCTGGCATGGCTAGAGCAAGGAACAGGGTGTGGGGGGGGCAAAAGTTGATGCTGGAGAAGTTGGTAGGAATCTGGACTTCATCCTGAGAACACTGGGAGGCATTGAAGGATTTCTGAGAGCGGGGAGCTTTGCTCAGATTTGTGTTTTGGGAAGATCGCTGGGCGTTAGGAGGAAGACAGGCTAGAGGGCACGCCTGGAAGCTGGGCGCTGTGTGGGGGGCCCTGTCCAGCAGAGAGATGGAGGGGGTGGCCATGTGAATGGTGGGAAGGAGATGAAGTCAAGACACATCCAAGTGGCTGACTCAGAGGTCTTGCTGATTGAACGTGGGAGTTGAGGGATGACCACTGAGGCTCTGACTTTGAGGAATCAAGCAGACTGACAATGAGTCAGAACAACGGACTCATCAGGGAGCAGGTCAGGCCCTTGGGACAGGGGAGCGGGACATGTTTTGGGCTCGGGGGATGGTAAAAACATTCGAGGCCTTCACATCTCAGCCCCCCTGGGAAGAGCAGGATGATTTAGCTTCAGCTGGGAGAGGATGGAGCCGAGTAGACAAAGGACTGTCAGCATTTTGGAAAACCCTAACTTAACTCTGGTGCCGTGTCACATATAGAAATTTTTTGATATTTGCAACCATAGTAAAACAAAGACTTATATTTTTGATATTTATTTTATATATTTAAATGCCATTTAACAAAGAAAAATCAACCAAAAAAATGAGTTCGGGTGTCACCTCTGACACGCGTGTCATAGGTTCGCCATCACTGGACTAGATCCTTACCCAGATGCTGCCTGAGACCCCGGGCAAGTGCTTGCACCCCCTGGAGCCTCGGCTGACCCGGCCGTGACCTGGGGTGACAGCTTTTGCCATCGCAGTGACACTGTCGTGTGCGCTTGGAAGATGATAAGTTGCTTCCACCCCAGCAACCGGTCCCCTGCTCTGCAGCCTGGGGCGAAGTTCTTGGTGTGACAGCAGCATCCCTGGTCCCAGCCCAGCCCACAGGAGAGCCAGGGGTGGAGAGGAGCCCTCTCTCCCTCCCTTTCAGGGTAAAGGACCAGGCTGAACGGGTGGGGAGGTGGGGGTGTGGACTCCCACCAGTCAGAGGTGTTGAGACGGAGTCAGCATGGCCGCGTCCTCCCACTCAGGCCCAATTTCCCGTTGACTGTCCTCATGGGCCCCGTCTGGTTTGTTTCCCTGCCTGAGCCCTTATCTTCCCTCCACCAGGAGCTCCCTATCCCCGGCAGCCCCTCCACAGACCTCTGGGTCACAGAGTCCACACAGCGCCACGAAGGCCTCGAGGCCTTATCACAGGCCCAGGCTCCAGGACACCCGTCTGGAAGGTCCCTTAGAATCCGTGTCACGGCGGGAGGAATAAGCCGGTTAATCCCTGGTGAGGAAACCACCTGAAAATGTCCCTGGTCTCCGCGGCCTCCCAAGGGAGGCCGAGAGGTGTGCTGGCCTCTGCGGTTTCTCCGAGGCCCCTGCTCAGCCTCACCTCCTCCTCCTTCGGTCCCCTGTTCTCTCTGACAAGCCTCATGGAAAGCCCGCTGTGTGCCAGGCACTGTGCTGGGAGCGGGGACACAGGGTGGTGGGCAGAGAGACACGCCCCGTCCTCACAGAGCTTGCTCTCCTGGGGGCACATCCAGGCTCTTTCGTCCTCCAGCGTTTCGAGCTGTTTCCCTCGTTTATCTCTGCACATTCTGTCCTCTGCACCTTTGCTAAGCCCTTTGCTCACGAGGAATGCCTGGCCCTCCTTCTCTTGGTATAAATCCTCCCACCCACAGCGCCTAGCTCAATGGCCTCCTCCTCCAGGCAGCCTTCCAAGTTGTCCAGTAGCATCCTCTCCCCACTCTGGGCCTCGCGGCCCTTTATCTCACCTGCACGTCCCTATGTGGACCAGGCCTTGCTCCTCCAGCCTCACCAGCTTCGAACTCCCCCAAGAGCAGGGGCTGCATCTGACCTCTGCCTGCCCCACAGCCCCAGCCCAGCCAGGCATACAGCAGGCGCTCACTGGCCCTCTTGCTGCTCTGTCCCTCCTCCCTCCCCAGCCAGGCAGCCTGCAGCAGCCCAGAGCTAGTGCAGACCTTCAGTTCCTGCTGCTGTGGCCCGTTCCCCTGAAGGGACAGGGGAATTTGGGTCCTTCCAGAGAAAAGTTCTGAGTCTTTGGCAGAACTGGGGGACTCACAACCCACTCGGGAGTTTCCCCAGCTGTGGGGGCCGGGGCCTCGCCATAAACAAACTGCTACTCCATCGCAACAGCCCCCTCTTGTCCAGCACAGGGCACCGTGCACAAAGGACCCCGGTGGCAGGTGGAGAAGCCACAGGTGGTGGGCAGCAGCCACTGGGCAGAGGCCACGGGGAACAGAGAGGTCAGGAGACACTCTGCCCCACAGGGCGGCACCAGCAGACACACTCCCTCTGCCTCCGCTTGGGACCCAGGCCCTCCCCACCACCTCTGCGCTTTTGTGTTTCCTCTGGGCCCAAAGCTCTGCCTCCAGGCAGGAGGCCCCCCCTCCCCTCTCCTCCATTGCATGTGCAAATGGACAGCTGCCTGGGGGACACAGGCATGGCCCAGCCAGGCGGGCAGGGGGCCAAGAACCGGCCCAGACTGTGGCTTGAGGACTGGGTGAGGTTAGGGGTCTCTGGCAGGTGATGAGAAAAGCAGAGAAATGCACCCATTGTGACGGGGCCCCTGGGACGGCCCAAATGCCCCTCTGCAGATGGTGAAGCTGAGGCCCAGGGCGGGTCTGTGAGCAGTGAGACCGAGACCGGGAGAAGGGGTCCTGCCCACAGGAGGCTCTGCTATGGACGGGGTGACTCCCTGCTCCCAGGAACTGAAGCAGCCCAGCCTCCCAAGGTGCCCTGGGGGAGGAGGAGCACCTGGCTCTCCCGCCCTTTGTCTAGTCCAGAGTCACCGGTTTCCTCTCCCAGGTTCACAGCTGAGCACCTGGTCCCAGTGGAGTGAGTGGGGTTTCACAAACACCACCTGACCACCTGCCGTTATCATCCCTGGTAATGGCATGTGATTGCAGGGGCGGTGTCATTCCAGGGGTTATCATCCCTGGTAATGGAATGTGATTGCAGGGGCGGGGTCATTCCGAGCTGCCCCCAGTCCCTCAGGGACAGGGTGGAGCCAGGCCTCGGTCCCAAGTGTCAGAATCAAAGTCCAGAGCTGCCCACCTGGAGGTAGGCGGGACTCTCACCTCATTAAGGGGCTCTCATGATCTGGCCTGGGGAGCCCTAAGCAGACGATTGGCCATTTTCTCTGCTGACCCGATGCACGGATGCTGTGGCCATTGGGTGCATGGGACATCTGCTCCAGGCCTGGCGAGGGGACCCTGACCAGGTGTCCCATGCAGACGTGGCTCTGCTGGGAGCCAGAGGCGTCCTCGCTCAGGTGAGACCCTGCATTTGGGGGAATGTGCCTTCCCACATCAAATCTGAGCTAAAGGATTAGAAACTGCTAGACTCTGCCTTCTGTGGCTCAGGGGAAGACCCTGAACTTGAACTTGGGAAAGGAGCCACGACCAAAGTTGTCTGGGCCTCAGGTCTTTCTCAGAATGAGATGGTCCTCCCTGCAGGGAGTTGCCCGTGTGCACGTGCACCCGCTGGTCCCCCGAGGAGAGGAGCCCCTTTTGCACCCGGAGCTCCTCCGGTCCCAGGTTAAGCAGCCTCTCTTGGCCCCTGCCTGGCTGTCCCCCTCCCAGGGCACCAGGGCACCGTGCACAAAGGGGGTTCGAAGCAGGACAATTCCAGTCGAGGACCAAGCTTTTTCTGTCCTAAGAGGAACCAAGAAATGTCTCTGCAAAAGGAGAAGTGTGTCGCCGTGGCCCCCGGATGAATACCCCACCTCTGTCCCCACTTGAGCCCCTGTTCACTGGAAAGCCACAAACATTCCAAGCCTGGACTTCTACAGAATCATCTCAAGTTCTTCGAACTCCACTGGTCCAGGGAAGGATGGGAGGAAGCGCTGATGGGCGGGGCCAGATCCCAGCGAGGTTAAATAGGTCACCTCCTCCCTGGGCGTCCATCCTGTCTCCCCCTGGCTGAGGGACCACACGCAGAGACCTTCTCCGGGCTCCAGCACCATGACCCCATGGAAGACGCTGCTCCTGCTCACCCTCCTCCTGGGGGCTTCCCTGCAGGAGGCCCGTGCAGGTGAGAGGGGTCGGGGGGCGGGGGCGGGGAAGATGGACACACACACATTTGTGTGTTATTTGCAGCTCACTTATTCCTGCAAAGATGTGAGAGGTCAGCAGCAATAGGATTTTGAGGGAGGTGTTGAGAGAAAAACAATGATGGAGGGGAGGAGGAGGAGGACAGGAGGCTTGGTGAGGGCTCCCACATCTCACACACTCCGATGGTTGTGAGCCGGTGGCTGTGGTTGTGTTTCAACAGCGAAAAGTGAACAATTCTCAGAAGAATTTGTCAGCGTATGTTTAATGAATGGGTTTTCCATACCCCGAGGGAATCGGGTAAAAGCAGGAGACTCGGTTCCCAGAAGATGTGAGGAGAGAGGTTTTTACATTCAGTTGGGAAAGGAAGGCTGAAACCAGCACAAGCTGGCAAGGGCCTGCCCAGCCCACGGGCAGCCTCGGAGGTAATCTTGTCAGGGGCCACCTTCGGCGGCTGTGCCTGTGTTCTCACTCCTGTGAAGCCAGCACTGAGCACCTTAGCCCCGAGTGAGTCAGACCAGGTTACAGCCCCCGGATGGTCGAGGGCAGCCGGGCTTCTTAGAAAACACGCTGGTATGGTAGTAACGAAGCCACACGTCTCCAGCTTGTCTCTGTGCAAGTGTCAGATATTTGTCGTTGTGCAGAGATGAGGGAACTGAGCCCCTGGGCCTCCGTCTCACCATCTGTCCAATGGGGGATGAAGGCACCTGTCTCAGGTGTGCTGGGGGACCGTGTGAGCTGTGCCGGGAAGGCTCAGCCCGGAGCTGGCGTTGAGCGTGCACACACTTACAGATGCATACACAGACACACATGCAAATAAGCATGCACCACTCCCCCAAACACACACAGGTACACACACTCAGACATATGCACACACACACACACACACCCTCCCAAGCACACACAGATACATGCACATACACACACACACACACACACACACACAGGAGCTCCCAAAGCCCAGAGACCTTAGGCACACAAATGTGAGCATGTGACACACAGACACGTGCAGATCCTCTACATGCTCCCCACACAGAAACACACTCACAGATCCTCCCATCAACACACAGACACACACAGACGTGCACACAGACTCCTCTCCACAGACGGACGGACACACACACACAGACAGGCACCCTGCCCACAGCACAGGTCTCACACCTGCTCCCGCTTCTTCCTCCGCAGCTCGAGGGATCAACGTGGGCCGGGAGTGCTGCGTGGAGTACTTCAAAGGGGCCATCCCTGTGCGGAGGGTGGTGCGGTGGTACCAGACCTCGGAGGAGTGTCCCAGGGCTGCTGTCGTGTAAGCCTGCCCTTCCCCCGCCCCCCGCCCCGATCCTGGGAGCTGAGTGTGGGAGAGGGAGGTCCTGGAGCTTCCAGAAGGGCCACTGGGAAGAAGAGAGGAGAGTGTGGCCTTCACGTCC